CCACTACCCTTGGCCAGGGCAGAAATCCAAGTGGCCCTCAGCACTGCCCTTCCTTCTCCCCACTCCCTTCCTCCTCCTCCTTGCCCTGCCCTGCCCTCTGCCTCTGCCACCCCTCTCAGCAGACCATAACGGGCTCCCTGGTACAGACCTCCCTCATGGGCTTCACGTTCACCCTCACCCTGACTCAGACCTCTACTCAAGGCCAGTGCACGAAGTCCACAGCCTTTCCTTGCCCACAGGCCTCCACGCCTACCACCTGCTGCCCTCATTACAGCCTGGAGGCCCCTCTGATTACGAAAGCCCCCCAGGTCCCCTCCTGCATCCCAGGCCAGGAGCCTGCTCCCCCAACCCCCTCAGCCGGTGAATTCCTCCTGTCCTTTTGGCCAAGCTGAGATGATACCTCCCAAAAGCAGGACCCCCTGTGGGGCCATCATATTCCATACGTCCTTTCAGTTGGTTTCCTTGATTCATCTATGGCTCATGGAACATAGAAACACTCTACAGTGTTTGGTGAGTGACTAAAGGAGTGGCTATATTAATGGCTGAGTGAAGCGCATCTTAACTGCTGTCCCTAGGAACTAGCGGGGAAGGGGGCTTGGGGAAACTGGTGAACAGCTCAAGGCAGCCCTGGCCATGCCACAGGAAGCGTGGCTGGCACACAGCGGGCAGAAAAGGCACAGAACAGTGTAACAAGAGCTGCTGCCCTTGGAGAAGAAAGTGAAAAATTTTGTGTATACACATAGTTCCTCTCAGAGGAGCAATGAGGAATCAATAGCAGTGGCTCCGTCTTGACCAGAGGGAAACATCCCACTCTGAAGCACACAGAGTCATCTAAAAATGAGCCACGCTGGTGGGGCAGATGCCTGTAATCCCAGCATTGAGGAGGCTGAGATGGGAGAGTTGAGAGTTCAAGGTCAGCCTGGGCTCTGGGAGCAAAACCTTGTCTCAAAAAAACAAATAGACAAAATCACCAAAAACAAGGTTCATCCAGCTTAGGCAACTTAGTGAGACTGTCTCAAAATAAAATAAAAAGAGCCGGGGATGTAGCTCAGGGGTCAGAGATCAACCTAGCATGCATCCAACCTGGGTCTAATTCCTTGCATCACAAAACTAACACAAAAACACACTGAACCTCCTTTCTCAGGAAAGGAAGAGGACCCTCCCTAGCAGAAGAGCAAGTATAGACCAACTGCTAGAGCTGTGTTCTCCCCCTCTAAGTGAAGGGATTGACTAGGGTCACCCAGCAGGCTCCAGAGTGGGACAGTGGGACCTGTGGAACAGCCAGGGCAGAGAGAAGAGATGTGGGACAAGCGCTGGCCTCTGCTGGCAGTGAGACCCTAGGGCCCTGGGTCTCAGTCCTTCGACCCTGTGTGGCCTTGGCACTGCCTACTGGGCCTCTCTCTGAGAGTCCAGGGCAGCAGAGTTCATGTCCCAGCCTGGCAGAGGCCTCTTGCTGGATTTGAGTAGTAAACTGTGTGCAGGGAGTGTGGGAGATGAGGATGATGCCCGAGACAGGACATGGTACCTGTACTCCTCACGGGCCCCAAGTTCCCGGCAGAGACAGTAGCCTCCAGGGAGTGAGAGGGCCGTGATTCCTAAGGGCAGTTTCCAGGGTCCCTCAGACCCCTGAAGCCCCGGCTCCCCTTCTGGGTCTGACAAGGACTGCCCTGCCGGCCTCCAGGCTCCCATTGGCTGCCCCTTGTCTGCTGACCTCAACCACCCCAGGAGCCTTTGGTCACTCCCCAGCAGGAGACTCCACTCTGAGTCTGCCCGTACCTTCCAGCCACTCACCTCCCCCCCTCCCCCTGCCCACCTGAGCAGGCCACTCACACCCTCAGTGGGCCCCTCACGAGGCTCCTCCCTATCTCCTTCTTGCCACACACTCATTTCCTTCACCCTAAGCTGCTATGGGTGGGGTGACCTCAGCACACAGCTCTGGGCCTGGCTAACCCTGGACAGCCCTTGTCCCTGTCTGTAAAATAGGGCTACTGTGCTACAGTGGTTCTCAGAGTATGGAAAGACCCTGGAGGGTCCCAAAACCTTTCTCAAGAAGTATGCAAGGTCTTCCTTACGTCTGTGAGAACTTTCAGGTGTGGTGGTGCACACCTGCAATCCGAGCTGCCCCAGAGACTGAGGCAGGAGGGCTGTAAGTACAAGGCCAGCCTGAGCAACCATGAGAACTTGTTTTAAACCCCAATTTTAAAGAGGACTGTGGATATAGCTCAATGGTAGTATTTGTGTAGTATGTATAACGATTCCAGTTCAATCCCCAGTAAAGCGCGCACACACACACACACACACACACACACACACGTGAGACCAGATTGTCTCCATGTGGTCCAACCGAACAGCACATCAGATTGAATGCAAGCAGACATGAACCCCACTGAGCCAGAATTAAACAGACACTTGTTTTTTTTTTTTTTTAACAGACACTTGTGAGCAATACAGTGGTATTGCTATATTTTTTATGTTGACAAATAATAGTGTTTTTCTCCCATTAAAATATGCTATACTATAAAGGATTCATTATGCCTTCCTTTTTCATTACTGGAGATTGAACCCAGACTTTCACACTGAGCTACATTCCTAGCCCTTTTCACTTTCCAATTTTGAGACAGGGCCTTACTAAATTACTAAGTTGCCCAGGCTGGATTTGAACTTGTGATCCCCCTGCTTCAGCTGCCTAGAGGGCTAGGAACACAGGCTTGTGCCACCATGCCTGTCTCCCATTATGGCTATTTTTAAATGAATTAATCAATAGTTCTTAAATTTGTTTTAATAAGTAATACA